TTGGCTGGGCCTCCGGGAACCTCACTCACTCGGCGAAACACAACGATGTGGTTGTTACATGAAGGTTTTCCACATCCCAATCTAGCTGATTGATGACGGTGCAATTGTATTATTAAACAATTAAATGTCTCCAATATATAAAATAAACATTTTTAGGTCTACGTAGCCACATACACACTAACAGAACATATTTTTTTCTTAATTTAATTAAAAAAATCTTATAATAAATAAGTATTAGAGACACCGCAAACCTACGTAGCTGTATTGGTTTCTCCAATGTACAATGACTTAGTAGGTAGGTAGGTACTTTCATAATACGAACGTATATGAGGTTGGTGCGTCATCGCGCGCCGCAACAACTTTCCCTGGTCTTCCTTCCCCTTTATTCACGCGATGGTTATACTCATACCTAATTTCTTGATACAATTGGTTTATTCTCTGAAGAATAAAGTCATTCCTCGTCATTATACCTAAGTGAGTAAACCTCACGAACATTAGTTGATGACTGTATGTGTGTGACGTACCTACCTATTTATTACAAAACACCTCAAAGTATTATATAGAAATTGGGGTATTTACAAATTTAATCTGCTCAAGCTTTCGATAGTGATATGTTGACTCGCATAGGCATTCAAAATTCGTACTGAAAATTTATACTATATTATAATACTTTGCAACGCAAAACGCCATAAATTAATAAACGATTTAATAAGAAAAAAAATCTCGTGTCACCATGTTAGTTACCTTACTACTCCAAAACGGCTTTACTGATATTCGCAAAATTTTATGCTATACATATTTAGTGGGTCTGAGAAGTTAAGTTTTGATAAGGGCTGTTCACTCTTACCATTTTTTTCGAAATAATTTATATGGCAACTACGTTTGTCGGGTCAGCTAGTACCGATAATACCTAATCTGTTGTTAAGTTTAGCCAATAAACAACAAACATTCGAAAGATGCCAAAACAACATAGAGGTGTGTGCTTCGAAATATCTCTGGTCACTAATAAATTAATTAAGGTATTCTTATATAAGTATAAATTAAGTTTTAATTTTACATATAATCTGAAAATACTTTACATCGCTAAATATACCTACATACACATAATATAAACTAGCTTCCGCCCGCGGCTTCGCCCGCGTGGTATGTTGATAAAAAGTAGCCTATGTCCTATTCCGGAGTGCATCCTATGCCTACGCCAAATTTCATCCAGAACCGTCCAGCCATTTTGGCGTGTTTGAGCAACAAACATCCATTCATACATCGTAACTTTCAAATTTATAATATTACTAAGATAAGATTGGTGATAATTATAATGGGGCAAAAATCTTGCTCCTTTATACATATAAAATGTCAATAACATTTTTATTAAAAACAAATATTTAATTTCCAATTTAAAGATGAATCTCTCAAGCCGGTTTTATTATTAGCTCGAGTGGTAAGATTGCAAACACATCACGAAGTCTACGAGTGAAATTTGCCGTTATGTAAGATCTTAGTCTCAGATTTTATAACAAAAATAATATAACTGTCCAATGAAGATATTAATACAGCTCGCTTGATGTGATAGTTTGGGAATTTACTGAAATATCTAAAGCTTTTTTCTGGAGTATAATATGTCCTAAATATACTCGAGTAATTTGTAAAGAAGGGATGTTATAGATATGAATTTCGGATAAGTCAACGTCAAAGTCAAAGTCAAAATCATTTATACCAACTAAACCATAAAAAGGTACTATTGAAACGTCAAAATAGAATAGTAGTCTGTCAGTCTGTTCGTCAGTGAAGCTAAGGTGCTCATTCCAAATTGTAGATTCGAATGGAGAAGAACGAGCAAGAAACTCCATAAATATAAATAAAGATTAGATATGGATATTGAAATTTTAATTATACCGGATATCGGAATTTATGTTTTATTTTTCGCTTTGCTCGTAAGGTGGACATTCGCTAGCAAATCGTCTCCAGCGCGGTAGGGGAAGAATAAGGTTCGGATTCCAAATTAAAGAGACACAACAGTAACAAAGATTTTGAACTTGTACCAGGGCAAACACTTGGAATAACAATGCAATGAGATATCGCGGCTTCAGTCCAGAGTAGGAGAAGGAAAGGGGGGGTTTTTAGTCAGTAAGAGTCTGACTCTCCCTCTCGCATCATGGTGAGAGAAATCATTTGATAATTTACCACTCATAACAAAAAGTTACAATTCACACGTTTTCTCATTGTATATTATTTTTATTCATTTAAAATTAATCCTTATAACAATAAAAGTGCGAAATTTTTATTCGTAGATAAATGTTCGTCAACCTTTCAAAATTAAAAACGGCTGAACGGATCTGAATAAAATTTGGCACTGAGGTGGATTATTATATGAAATAACACATGGTGTTTTCATCGTGGAAATTAGGTAACTTACCTAAATACTCATCAAAAGCATCGATGGATAAGGATACTCCTAAGGAATAACATAAAGAAAAAATTAACTACATAGATACACAAGTTTATATAACACGTTAGGCACACAATACATACATAGGTTTTTTTTGACTAGTACGTAACGAAGTTATGTAGACGCATATTGATAATTATCGTCTTCCTTATCAGTATGGCTGTTTGCATATTTATTAAAACACAGTCTCTTTTTTTATATAAAGTCTTTTTTCACGTTATATATTGTCATCACTGCATACTATCTCCTTTCAAATGTACCTATGTTAATGTATGCTATTCATCATACTGGCACTGTTAACTAAAAATGGAGTTTTTGTTTTTTACGTAAATATACAGCAACAAATTCACCTGACCAGAAAACGATGAGAATTTGCAATCATGTTTCGTAAGCACATAATACACTGAATATTACCCCAGATTTTGTTTGTTTTTAAATTTAGTGACTAATAACAAATGATTGATCACCAAATAAGTGTGACGCCAGCTGAAGCGGGAGCATTTTATAACCAAATTTTGCTCCAAACGGTCATAATTGTCCAAAATTTAACAATACATATGTGCCTGGAATCCCTGATTATAACATCAAACTAGCAGGAAATATATGAAAAATTCCGATCTTAATTCGATGTAAAATATCCAAGGTTCGAAAATTTAATATAAATATTAGACAGTATGATCCTTCTGATTTTAGATTCACTTACATAATAATTTATTTTCAACTCGCCGTGCAGAATAGCTGAAAAAATGTGTTTACGTATGCTGCGAGCTAAATCCAGATGCGAGCTAATTTAGCTAGATTTTAACGGACGTATGTCTGTGTAGATGTCTATTGATATATTATATTTAAAGTTCTTATATGTAATATATCTACTACATTTCTTTTAAAAGTATGACTCATCTCATAAACATCAAAACAAAACAATAACATCGTCAACAACGACAACGACGCGTCACGCGGCTCATGAATAAGAGTCCCGCTGTGACTTGAAACTAGTCGAGCTTTTCTCGGTTATTTTACGTGAGTAAGTCGTTATTTTTATAAATTTAGTACCTATAGTAAACAAACTGGAAACTATCAACGAATGAGATTTTGGTATGTTTAATATATAACTGAATTATTAGTTATTACAAACTCCTTTCACATAAAAATACATTTAATTTTTATTTATTAAGTTTCCCTATTCGAATCACGAAGGTAAACTCACCTTTGTGGAACCCAAACAACGAACAAAGCGCAATAATTATCCAACTTCACATAATTATTATTGTAATAAAGAAAAAAGGTGTATTCAAATATATTTAATTAAACACATAAATATCACAATATATTGTAATGTATTCAGGAATCACTTTAAGTTAGAAAGATATGCACTAGGTAATTAAGTAATTTTGGCATTTATATTTATTTTAGAGACCATAATATATGTACAACAATTACTTTACTTGATCACAAAAAGACATACCCATCGTCTAAATCTAGGTACATACTTACAGCTATTGGTTATAAAAATAAATATTTTGTAATACAAAATAGATTCCTAGCATTAAAAAATAAACAAATAACAAGAAAATAATGCAAAATATCTACTATTCACACATATTACCTAATAATAATTATAAAAAACCATAGAAATACGGTAGTTTCCAACTAGTCAAATTCAATACTTTTGTCCAAATGTCAAAAACGATACTTTTCTATGAAATTTGTATGAAAAACTGAGTTATGACGTCATAGCATTTTTGCGTCAAATAGCTTACTTATTTCTTAATAATTAGCTGAAAAATATCAAAAACTTAGTGTATCAATCGATCGATACACCACATTTTAGATATTTTAAATTTATTTTTTATTATTCAAATTTCATAGAAAAGTATTGTTTTTGACATTTGGATAAGAGTATTGAATTTGACTAGTTGGAAACTACCGTATTGTGGTTATATTTTTATTGTAAAAAACATTCAAATATACCTATCAAAGAATTTCACATTCGAAGATTCGTTAATATTTTATACAAAACAATTTTTCTATCATTTTTCTCATATAAGGTGTTTTTATTATCAAACTTTATTTATATTTGACTGCACGGTTGGCGCGGTAGCTGGGCAAATGGCTGCCGTGCCAAGTGTCACGGGTTCGGTTCTCGCACAGAACAACTCTTTGTGTGATCCACAAAACGTTGTTCCTGGTCTGGGTAGCTTGTGTATGTGAAATTGTATGTTTATTTAACCGCACCCACGACACAGGAGAAAATACAATTGTGGGGCAAGGTTTTAAAAAAAAATAGATTTCTTCTGTACGCATTACCTAACTTAATCTGAAGGGGAATGAAATGGCAATTTAGACTCTATTTTTACATTAGTAACATGAATATTTTAAAAGTTTTATCATACTATACAGTGTGTTACTCGGATCTATAAGTACCGAATTGAGCAATACCTGGCAAAATGTTAAACAAACAAGTATTAGGTAACAGTACACGACATGCTATAAACCGGCTGATGGATCTCAAGATTATAGCATACAAAACAGTCTATTTATATATCATCTATCCTGTCAAGACCTCAAAAATTACTAAACAAATAAACACTTTTTCAATATGTGTGTGAATTTCTAAAATATAAAATTGATGTCTCTTATAAAATTAATAAATTATCATAATATTCTTAATACAATCATTTCATTCTTAGTGCTGTTTAAGCAGAAAATGCAATAAGGTAAATAAAGTTATTTTTACATTGCAGGTAGTTTACGATATCTTAACTAGAAGCACGGTAATACTACTAGTATACTAAGTACCTATTACCGTGCTTCTAGTAACTACACGATACCAAATCACATTTACAAAACAAAGGTGTGTTTATACTTAATAGGCTACACAAAATGCTACAACAGCTGCTAATATTGTTGTAAACATAGGTCCATTACGAGTGGCAGAATTTTTACGTATTGACTTGTCTGCGTATGTCTGTAAGAGACCACATTGCACGGATTTTCTCATATTATGTGTCGGACTAGTGCGAATCACGAAGCACTGCATTCCAGGTGTCACTTGCACAGGCTTTCCCTTAACGTCCAGAGCGTTCACTACTGTTGTGTTTGTCGTGGTAGTAACTACAGATGACGTTGTTATTAATGTTCCATTTGGAGCCAGACCACCCACTGAGGCATTCATTGGCACATTCAAAGGAATCGCTGTAGTAGGCGGAGCTGTCTGGTTCACAGGTACCAATGTCCCATTGGGCAACATCGCATATAAAACATTACCGGGCACAGGCACCGGAGCCGGTGTGGTCGGGTTCGCTGCTATCATGTTTGTACTATTTGTCACAGTCGTATTAGTTACAGTGACTACCGAAACAGTTGAATTAGTCCCAGTACTACGTTGCGCTTGATCTTCCAAGATAAAACTGCTTATAATCTGGCAATCTATTCTAGTCTCCTCGTAATCACCGTTGTCTTTTTTCACAGCGAATTTACACACTTCGCCTGGTTGAGGCTTGTATTGCTGTGTGCGGCTGTGTGCGTAAGCGGCGCCAGCAAGTGTTCCAAGGTTGAGTAGCGCTAAACCGGCCAACAACGTACCGTATTTACTGCCTGAATTTTTGTATTGATAAACGTAAGTCGGAGGAGTGCCGTGGTACACGGGGTAGTTCACGGGTGGTCCTCCGTGGGGAGGTGCGTACGAGATACGCTGCGGTGGACTGTAGTGGTAGTTGTAAACATTCGTCGTGTGATGCACCGTGGTAGGTTTGTTTTGTGGGTACCTGTTGTTGTTGTTACCTGATAGACCACCGCCAGATGAAGGATAGCCATGACTGCCACCTGAAGATGGATAGCTGTGACTGCCACCTGAAGACGGATAGCTGTGACTGCCTCCGGACGATGGATACCCATGGTTACCGCCGCTGCCGGATAAGCCGCCACCTGAAGGATATCCATGGCTACCTCCGCTGCTTCCGCTCCCAGACAAGCCGCCACTTGAAGGATATCCGTGGCTTCCTCCACTACTTCCACTGCCAGACAAGCCACCCCCAGATGGGTATCCGTGACTAGGGGGACGCACGCCAGATGAAGGATATCCGTGACTACCGGAGGAGGGATATCCGTGTCCACCACCAGATAGTCCACCCGAGCGATGCCCTCCACCCGATAAACCACCAGATTTTGGATAACTATGTCCGCCACTGAAACCTCTCTTCGCTAATATTGGTTCAAATAGCACCGCTAATAAGAAAGCGCAAAACAAAACACGCTTTATAATTAACATTTTAAATGTCACAATCACAACGTCCCAAACACGTTCACCATCGACACTCTTGCGCACTGGACTGGGACTGTATGCGTAAGCCGCGTTTCACTTCGATTACAAAACAGTGATGCCACATACAAAAATACATCTCCATTCGAAAATTTGTTTTAGTCGTAGACAGAGAATCTTTTCTCTGTCTACGGCTCTAGTTTATTATAATTTAAACGTCATAAATGTCAAAGACTGTAAGTCTTTTTTTTATAGACATATCGAAATCGGTATTAATGAAATAAGGTTATGAAACAATAAGTTTATTTTATCTCTAGAACCTGTGACAGATAATATATAAAAATCAGTAAGATGTTTTATAAAAAAGTTAAAGTATATATATATTATTATTTATAAATCTATATTTATTAATTACGATACCTAATGATGACATAATAAATAATAAAAATTTAAAACAATGTCCCCCGACTGCAATAAAAATTGCTTATTCTTGACAACTTGTTTTTTACTTTTTTGTTTATTTTAAAACATGGCAGGCGTGTTTTTTATTAAATTTATTTATTATTTTACTAATTTTAGTAATAAAATGTGCAATAAGAGCGAACCGATGACTTCGTGTATTAGGTGAGCATAAGCAATATTTTTTTTTTTGAGTTCATGGCCTGGATACATGTCCTTTAAGCAAAATTAGCAATATTGTTAACGTTAGGCACAGATTATAAAACAAAAGGCAGATACTGGTATACCGTACAGTGAAGCCACCAAAGCAAATACAAATTCAAAAGCAAATAAAATCTTGAATCAGTAAAGTCAAAGTCAAATCATTTAATCATTTCCATTTTATTTGCAATACCATTTTTCTTTGTTTTTAAACAATTATTTCGTAGAAACCTTGTCTTCACAATTACAAACACGACAAAAAAGATTTAGGTACCCAAATATGTAGGTGCAAAGTGGGTAATACATATCGGAAATTGATTTTTATTTGTATTGATTGTGGATAATTTTGTTATTTTCTAGCAACCGTAACGCACACCGAGAAAACGTGTTTGTATAGATCTGTCACGCACACATGACTACCAAGCCGGCTTTACATTACTTATTGTTCCTTGCGGTCCATCTGTATTTTTTTATAATATGGGCGTTTTAGTACCATATTATTATTAAAAAATATTAGTGACATTTGTCCACTAACGCCATCTATCGACACACGTCATTTATGTATTCATCGTAGAAATAAATCAATATTTTCTTGAAAATGTCTCAAAATGGAACCCAACCTCAAGTGTGTTATATTTTTGTAAACTACTCTCTTGGTTTTGATAACTTTTTTAAATTATCTTATTTGTTATTTAAGGCCCATAGCCACCCCATCGATTTTTTTAAGACACAACTTAGCCTTTGTCACCAATGGATTCCAACAATATGCTATGGGTATGTCTAATTCTGCCCAGGCGTTTGGAAAAATCATATACATGAACCCTAAAAATATAACACTCCTTTTTTGGGCAGTCGTTTAAAAATAGACTAAATTACCGGTTATTTTTTGTGAGGGGAGAATCATCAAATGACTTCTCCCACCCAATTGAATTTTAAAGATAAATGTGTTATTGATTATAAGTCTAATTTGTCAAAAAGTCCACAAAATGAAGGCTGTTTTTTTAGGGGCAACACTGTAACACAGTTTGCCGCTGACAGCGCCGCTATGGCGTCGAGCCCGACCAGGTAAATGTAGCGCCGGCGCAGGTGATAGCCAAAGCAAACTTCTCGGAGGGGGAAGACCGTGACGATATGACGTCATCAACTTGTCGTCATTGGCAGACGTCATATTGATTTGTTAGGATTCATTTCGTCACCATTATTAAATGAGAGGTTATTTCTAAAACTAAGGTGAACCATACTATGTATTTCACAATTAAAATCATTCTTACTACAGTGACTAAAGATGATGACACAATAAAGATGAATAATAACCAGACTTTTTTCGTGTTTTCCATGAATGAACTTGTTTTGTAGGTATATATTATATTATTCCGGTCAACTTAACTCTAAAAACTTAAATGTTATGTTGGTTTCATAGTTACAAGGTTTCGTTCAAAAAAGGTTTTTGTGGCATGTTACTCTACGTTTAAATTCATGTGTAAAAATAGAACAACATCATTTCAAAATTGTTCTTTTTTGCTTCAAACTATATGTATACCCATGTTGTTTTTTTTTATGTAACAATTCAATAATAATTTATATTATAATTATTTAAATTAGATACCAATTAATTTTTGTTAGCTTGTTGTTGTGTTAAAAATTTTACTAACACTATTTATTTATTTATTTGGACTTCTAACAGAGAAAACAGCCCAAATGCCAGACAATACATATACATAACAAAATATTATCTTGTGGTCTCCACTTATAAGAAGCCACATCATGCAAATATAATGTAACAGCATGAATACACATTTTTGATGTCGTAAGTATTAAATTAAATTTTAACACTATGTTATATTAAGTCTTATTACAAGAAATGAGATAATAATTAGGTATATAAAACAAAGTTTTTTTTAAAGTAGCTAATCAAAGCATTATCCAGTCAACAATAAAGCATGAACAATCAAACAGTAAAAAAAATGTCAAAATTAAAAATATTCAAACAAGCATTTTCTGAATTATGTCAAATAATGATAATGATATGAATATGAAATGAAGTCAACCACGAAGTCAACATTAAATAAATTGAGAATAATCTAAAAAGAAATGAAATTTTAATCAACAATGGAATTAGAACGAACCTCCACTAATTATATTATTCATTTGATAGGAACCGGTTGTTATGGTTGCGGTTTGTTATTAACGTGTATTATTTTAATAATGACGCAAGTCTAATACTCACGCCATTATTAGAATTTATATAATCAGGTCGAGATGAAGCATCAGCTAGAGGTGTCCAACAATACCATCAGTGATCTTCGGGCAGAAGTAGTGTCATTGCGCAATGCAATTTCTGCAAGTAGGTCACCCAGCAACGCGAATGTCCACACGCATCGTGGGGTAAAAGACGCCCCATCTGCAGCTTCGAGTCAACGGGCTCGAAGGAGTTACCAGCTGTCAATGCACGTGTTGCAACGTGCGCCGCAGCTGCCCCTATCTCGACACTAGTAGAAACGACGACTTGCATAGGTTCGAAGAACCCGAAACGGTCCTACGTAGACAGTCGATCGCACATCGGTGACCCCACACTTTAGCCTTGAAAGGTTTTAAAGTAGAACATGCGAAACATTCGAAAGAGATAGTTATACTTCTCAATGTCCTGTTTCTAATTTGTTGTGCTACAAGGCGTGGTCTGTGAACTGAACTGTGAAAATGATCGCCCGCGATTGCCATACCGCACGTTAAAAGCATGGTATGGCAACGAAGCCTGAGTGCATATGCATAGTTTGTTCAAATTTTAAGGTTCCACGCTTCGTCGCGCAGCCTTTGTGTGTGAGTGTCCTCGCTTTTCCTGATGTATTAATTTAAGGTGGTATGTCATCGGTAAGTGGGAAATTTAAATTTTCTAATTGCATTTCTGCAATTGAAGAGTTTTGATGAAAATTTACCCACTTATTATTTAAAACCATAAATGTCATCTCGTTTAAACAATGAGTAGGTATACATTACTGACTGACTTTCCATACTTTTTGTATACTGACTGATGCCACTTATTACACCATGCAATTACACTATTGTGTCAAGTGGGTTATTGATAAAAACTACTTACGTTCTGCAGTTTTTTTTTGGTAGAAAAGTTTATTAGCTTCTTTACAGACACAATACAGAAATTAATTTTTAATTTACTTTTATTTACGCTCTAAACAACCAATTGGTCTAATAGTCGTATAGCTCACGGGGTCTCGGGTTTGATGCAATTCGTGTCTGATTGTCGTCCCATCAGACTATAAGAGTGAGGTAAGAGTTCGTCTGTGTCTGCGCAAACGCAGTTGGCCGAACTCCTTAGACAGAAGGGGCCCCTTGGTAACAATCTTTCTGGACAGCATTATTAAAGGTAACCCCATAAATAAAACAAATCAATGTGTTAAAGGAAGCACTCTTATTTAAAAATAAAATTGAAGTTAATAATATTAACTGGCGAATTGGCGATACTGTGAAAAAACTCCTGATTAAAAAAAATATCTTTTGGAGATTCGCGGCGTTATTTCTTTGGAGTGGTCTGGAAAGTCATCTTCGGGGAATATGCAAATGACGCAATGACTGTGAACTTCGGTGTGCCGCAGGGAAGCGTGTTGGGCCCCACCCTCTTCATTATGTAGGTACTAGCTTTTGGCCGCGACTCCCTTCGCATGGAATAGTGACTTCCTGCCGATGTTGGGTATAAAAACCGGAGGGTTGTGTTTGTGTCCCTGCACAAACACAACCCTCGTTGTTTCACAACCCTACACAAACACAACCCGTTGTTTCACAACCCTACACAAACACAACCTGTTGTTTCAGAACGGTTTTATGTGAAGCCATATACGGTATCACTCGGGTTGGGACGCTCCATTCGTGCCGAAGAATAGTTCTCCCACACTTAAGTCTTCCACGATAAATGGACTATTCAACAGATTTATATTATTTATTCAAACCAGTAGGTAGTTCTGAAGGTTAAAGCAATCAATCAAGCAAACTCTTCAACTTTATATTATTAATTTCAACAGACGGGGCCCAATAGGGCTGGTGTTCAGCCGGGGTTGCGGGGTAAGCGCAATGAGGCACCGCGACCTCGGCCCAGAGCAGGAGAAGGAACGGGGGGTTTTTTGTCAGTAAGAGTCTGACACTCCCTCCCGCCCGGCCATGGGCGGGAGAAGTCATTGGATGATTTTCCCCTGACAAAAAAAAAGGTATAAAATAATAGGCATTATTGGTGTAGGTATGTGTAGGTTTTAAATATGTTTAAGCATTAACTAGCGTGAAATAAAATAACCAGCACTTTTAGGTAATAATTTAATAAATATTTATTTATTTTAAAGCAACAACCTATTTAGGACAATCTCACAGACACCGAATTACATTCAGCACAGCACATTATACATACTTAATACAATTCAAAATTTTGATGTAAACATTTTCATTCGACATCATTATATAAACATCATCGCAATTACTATTCGTAGTAATACAAAATTACCTATTTATAGACAAAATGACTTTCTAATGTAGATAAGCAGCATTCACTACAAGCGACTTTACTAAATATTTACACTCTACGAATGTTTGTTCTTCTAATAATAGGAATGTTTGATTCTCTAGTCATCTCCTCATGTGACGCTATACGCCGGATAGCTCCGGCAAGGCTCCTGTCAGCTGTGATCCGCGCTAGCACTGCGCACACGCCGAATTAATTCCTCAACTCTCTTATAAGGACTTTGGCATCTCTCTTCGTTAGCCTCTATAAGATAAGGACCACCCTCGCTGTCCCTACCCTCTGGTGTGTGGCAACCACTGGAGCCTTCAGCTGCTCTATTTATAAACGGTTCTACATCTGGAACTAGTGGAGTAGCTGCTACTACTGCTCTTGTCTCGTCAGTTATACTCGCCTCAGCTTCCTTCTGCCGTAGCCAAACTGGTGAATTTACGTATACTTTTGGTCTTTCTCTCAGAGCATTACACCTCTCTAAAGCCTGTCGTCTAACTGGTATTGGCGGTCTGTATGCGGCCTGTATTGTCACTCCTCTGCCTCCTATAGAGCAAAGCAGACCCTTCAAAGCTGCTCTAAAGTCTTTTAGATGGTACGCGTACAAAAACGGGTTGATAGCAGAATTTAAATGGGAGACAATGATGCAGATGTACGTGAGAGGGTTGGGAATGTCGAGCTCTGGCATGAAGGCTTTGATTGCATTAACTGTGTAGAGTGGAATCCAACAAATGATGAAGAAAAATACTATGATGGCGAGATTCTGCGTGGCTTTGACTTCTCGCTTCTGCGCAGCTCCAAGCACTCGTAGCATGGTGCCACCTCCAGGAACGCGGCCCCGGCACCCGTCCACTGTCATCACCTCGCTGAGCTAGAAACAAAAACATTATGTTCAGTTTTATTTCAGCACTTATATCTATCTACACTAATACAGAATGAAATAGGCAAAACGCCAATATCACTGAATGCGTAGGTACATCGATTTATATTGCAATAGCTGACTTAGCGTTTTTAGTATCTATTTGCAATATTTCCGTATTTTCTCGCCGTTTAAGCCTTGCCTGGACATCCAAGAAATATTTCTCAAGATTACAAAGACAAGATTAGAGAAAGACAAAATTAGCTACATATGTAAGTCCTGTCGTTTCAGCGTTTTAGCGAGAGCCACAAATAGTACTTAGTTGATTTATATTGCATTTTCAGCGTTTCGCGATAAAATATGTAAATAATGGAACGTTGTGTTTGCTTTGCAAAAACTCCTCAGATAAACGATTTGGTGCTATGAAAAATCTTTACATTGATTGTCTTAAAATATGTTAGCAAATTACCTGTTTGACAACAACTCGATAGATGTGAGCGTAGAAGGCTGCGAGTAAGACGCTGGGCGTGACGATGGTGGCAAAGTAGAGGAACAACAGGTAGTTGTAGTCCATGACCTCTACGAAGTAACATCCTGGCATGTTGTTGCCAGCGTGCCACCCGAACAGTGGTAGGAGACCCACTCCCGCACCAGACACCCAGCAGACGGAGATGATACCTGGAAAGAGAAACAAACTATAAGGCTACAGTTAAGCGAACTTCTTAAATCGTGGTGGCCCAGAGTTTCGTTTCCCATGCACGAGAAATTCGAAACCTGGCAAGTACCAATGTGACTTTTTCTGAGTTGTATGTACTTTCTATGATTATAATATACCTAGTCTAGCCATAAATACTGTAACAAATAAAAAAATATTTTTTCTATTGCATAACATTTATTACTTTTACAGTATGTAAGTTTAATACATAAATATAAAACAACACAAAAATAAAAATGACATATTCCAAATTCAAATGTATTATTTTGTTTATTTTTAATTGTAACAGTATTTATAGCCAGACTATGTATAGACACCACTGACATACGGTGAAGGAAACTTGGACTTATAATTTCTTATTAAGTACATGTTTTTTGTTTGACAATCTGCCATTTTCTCCATGTGAGGAGACTTTTGCTCAGCAGTATGTATATGTATAGTTGTCATTTTTAAAGTTTAATTTTCTGCCTTTTTTGGCTTTCATATGAAAACAACATTGGCACCGACGACGAATAATGAATGAATATTGAATATACTACCTAGTAGACCTAGCCCTCCAAAAAAAAGGCGATAGCTATGGGAAAATAGTTATCAATTAATATTAAAGGCTTAAAAGCCTCAAATCGTTCAAGTTACGAACATCATTTTAGATAGTTTCATTCAATAAAAATATTTCTGTTAAAGCGCCTGTCGAAATACTGCGAGTTCTCAATCGTTAATCGCTTTGCTCAGCATTTTTATTCAGAATATTATAAAATAAATATTAAATGTGTATATAACGCTAACTAATAAAATCTATATTGACAAGAGGAATGTTAACAGTGTTGTTTGACACTTTTAACTCCTGCGCGACGCCTGATTATAAGTATAGCAATTCTATGTAGATTTGCTGTCTGCTATTGTAAAGGCGTTAGGCGCCACAACAAAATGATTTTCTATCATTTGATTAACCTTGACTATAATTTGTACTGGTACTAGAATAATAATATGAAAAGGTATGTATTTGACTATTTGTGATGTTGAGGAGACTAATATCCGAAAGTACCTATCTTCGAACTGTATTTGAAAAATTAACTCTGTGTAATATTAATTATATATCTAAATAATGCAAAAAAAGCTACTTAGGTAAATTAGATATTTTTATTATGTGCACTTGATTAAGGGTTTAGTACCATTGAAGTAGTAAATGTTCTTAGTAATAAACAACATTGTAACCTTTAAGTAGTTGACAATAAACGCTTGTCTTGACCAGACGTATTTCCTTTCGCTCCACAACACCTCACATACTTCATAGCGACCCTGCCAGGATAGCATGCATGCCCAGTTCCCAGAACGTGTGTGGCAGGGTCGCCAACACCTCACACACTTCAACATTTGTGAGAAAAAAAAATAGTCAATTTTTTCATTTTATTTATGATAAGAAGTTAAATACTCTCCACTACAAAACAGTCATATCACAATATTGGCAAATAATAGATTTTGTCCAAAATACATAGTAAGTTCAAGTATACAATATACCAAATTGTACATATTATATCGATATTTAAAAAACGTTGTCTCTTGTTTATATTCTTTTATATAAAAATTATACAATGATAACAGCAGCACACATACAAATTCACGACAATTTTATCAACATTTAACTAAACTAATTAACAATAACAAACGCTCCAAATTAAAGTCACTCTAGCAATAATTATGTAGGTATTATTATTTACACAATGTCCTATGAACAGTATCTACTTTGTCGAACAATATATGTATACGTATTTACAGAAAATAACATAACTATCAAAACATACCAAAAAACTAAATCCTAATCCTACAATTGAAAAAAACAGCCCACGCTTTAATTTTACGTTTAATTTATACAGCAATAAACAAAGACATCCACCAGGGAGGGTTCTTTAGCCATGATTTTAGTTTTTCTCTAGATGGTAGTATGCTAGCGTCTCTCTTCGGCTCCGGCATTTTCGAGTAAGCCACCAAAGTTTTACAATCGACAACATTACGCAAGAAATTGTCTCTTGTTTGAATCTCTACCACACACTCCATGTTATCGGGGTTCACTGGGGGGCCTTTTACACTTAGAGGATCTACGAGGGTTGAATTAGTAGTGCACACTGTCACATTCACCATAGTCGCGTTCGTTGTCACCGTCTTGGTGATGTAAGATGAGGAACCGTTCACTGTCGAAGTCACTGTGGTCACTGTTGTGTTCGCTGCAGAACTGTTCTGTGGCACAGTGCTGTTAACAGTCACTGTAGGAATGATGGTGCCGTTTGGTGCTAAAGTTCCCAAATTATTCTTCACATCGATACTAGGAACTATTGGGGCGGGAGTGCTTACAGGTGTCATTATTAGAGTGCCGTTAGGTGCTAATGTCATGTTTGCTATTGTAGTAGAACTGTTGTCGGGCAATGTAGAAACATTGATTGCCTCAGTTCGGCTTATAGCCCCTGTTGAGTTAGAACTTAAAGGGTTAATCGGTAATACTGAGAGCACAGGGATCGGTGTAGAAGCTGGTGTCGCTGACAACGTCGTCTCTGCATTATTTATCGTACTGATTGTTGTCGTGCACACGGTTTTATTCACTTGAGTTTGTTGTGTTGGAGCCACTTTTTTACTATCTTGAGTAAAGGTTGAAACAATTTCACAAGGAATTTTAAGTGCTTCCTCCCGTCCATTTTCTTTAACTTTCAATATGCAATTTGCTTCGTCTTGAGGCCTGTTCTGGGGCCTGTAGGATGAGGAGCCATATGATGAAGTGCTCGGCATATCGTACCTCCGTCTGTAGTAATCATCATAGTAGTAGTGGTCTGGGTAGCTGTGTGAGCGTCCAAGATTGTATATTGATAAACCAGTCAGGAGATCCCCGTAACGACTATTCGAGTTCCTGTAGTCTTGGATATATACATACTGCGGTGTGGAATAGTACGTTGGTACGTTAGTATGGATATAATGATGTGTTGTGTGTATTGACGACGATGGGTGGTTGTTTGTGCCGTATGTATGACTTGATGTATAGTAGTGGGATCCAGAATTAGACGTAGTTCCGTAATTTGATCCAGAGCCGGACAGTCCCGTCGAACTCGATGGATAGGAATGGCTTCCAGAGCTGTATGATGGCCGGTAATTGGACGCAGAGCCTGACAGTCCTGTTGAACTTGACGGGTAAGAATGGCTTCCCGAACTTGATGATGGCTTGTAACTCGGTCCTGATAGCGAAGGAATTTTGAGGCTGTTTAGATATGATACGCCCGATGGTAAATCGCCTGATGAGTATGATGGTTTCGACCCAGTACCATATAATACTCCTGCAGGTAGAGGACTTATGTAGGTATTAAATTCAGATCCTGATGACGATGTCGGGTAGCTAGATGATCCAAAGTTCCATGTTGATCCAGATGAAACTGAAGGATATCTACTACTGGAGCCATATCCAGATAATCCAGATGACGACGAAGGGTATGTGTGTGAGCTGGAACCATATCCAGATAATCCTGACGAAGACGAAGGGTATGTGTGTGAGCTGGAACCATATCCAGATAATCCAGACGAAGACGAAGGGTATGAATGTGAGCTGGATCCGTATCCAGATAATCCAGACGATGACGAAGGGTAAGTGTGTGAGCTGGAACCATATCCAGATAATCCTGATGACGATGAAGGATACGTATGTGAACTAGATCCATATCCGGACAATCCTGATGACGATGGGTAGCTATGTGATGACGATGAGCTTCCCCAACGACTCGACGAGGAGGAACTGGAGCTCCAACTGGGTTTAGAGTAACTTGACGACCCCCAGCTCTTGCCAAAGGAGCTGTGACTTCGACCGCTACTGTATCCACCGCTGCTCCTTCCACCACCTCGCCAACATTCTATATAAGACACAGTCAGACACGACACTAGAAGGCACAACAGAAATATTCTGCTGGCCATTTTGTTACACTACGTTAACAAGCGAGATCGCAAACACGTTTGATCTTCTCGCCTTTGATTGGTTTTATTTAAAACCAGTCCATTTAATAGTGTGTGAGTATTTCTATGTTTGTATGAGTGCATGACGTAAACTAGTATTCAGGGAATCTCAGTTACTCACGCTGACAACAGATAAGAGAAGGCTATAAGGTGAAATAAACATCAATCAAACTAATTCATTAGAAACAACTTCTCGCTGGTTCGGATCCCGCGTCAAGTTATGATTTTATAGTCGACTTTACAAGCTGATATTCTGTGCGAATATCAGCTTGTTAAAGTACCTAATACAATTTTATAGCGTACCGGGTCTATGACTGAAAAATGTTGTAGGTATCGGGAAACACTGGGACAGAAGTTATCTAATGATATTATGTGTGTCGGTTTTCTATAGTATCATCGTCTATCTGGTTTTCAAATGACATGGCAAGCCCATTCTCACTTAAACTTATGAATACCATGAGCTATGTTGCAAACTTTGAAACAAAACGGATAAACTACTCGCGAAATTAATTTTATTTATCAGCGTAAAAATAGTCCGTTCACACTAGACATAAAATCTGCAATATTCCCAAATATATGTAAGATACGATCTCTTTAAAATTAGCCGTAACATTTATATTATTTCTCGGAAACCGATCAGTCCCGAGCTTAAATAACAATATGACTCATGAGGCCCAAACGTAAACAAGCAATAATAAGGAAACAAAATATGTGATAATAGACTTCCAAGTTCCAAAAATTAAAGTCACGCCTAATTTGTCTGCATGGTCAGCGTGGTAGCTGGCTGCCGAGGGTTCTATTTCCGCACGGAACAACTCTTTATGTGATCCGCAAATTGTTGTTCCCAGGCTGGGTGACACAGAAGAAAACCATAGTTTTTTTTAATAGTGATTACAATTTACAGATTATTATTTTTTTGCAATCCCAACCCGTGCGCTCCACCTTAAACAAATTAACAAACGAACAAACTCTCCAGCTTTGTAATATATTTAACTAGCGATCGCCTACGGCTCCGCCTGGATGTCGATTTAACACTTTTTCAAGAATTTGATTAATTTTCACTACGTACAAACCTTCTTTGGACTTCCACGAATTCCAAAGAATGTAAATCCAAATTTGTGTAGGATAATTTCTACATCATTTAAATCATTGAATCATAGTATCACAGTGTTTTATATAAAAAAACCTTTTGATAAATCATAAGTTATTAAAAAAATTTTTTTAGGCAACTAACTTATTGTATTAATTAAATTACTAATAATAAACTAATATTTTTGATTTCACAACGTTTAATCTCTTTTGTTTTTAGATAACTACTATTATTATATTTATAAATACTAGCGACCTGCTCCTCCGACAATTGCAATGCTGATACTAAATTTCTCCATCATATAATAGATGTTATAGGTACATCTAAACAAACCTCTTCAACCACCCATATTTATCTACATATTAAAATATCCGCATCACAATCAATTGATAGTTTTACTAATATAAGCATACATAAGGGCAGAGGACAGAGAAAGTGACTTTGTTTTGTATAGGTACTATGTAGTGATGAACTGGTTTCACTTATTTGGGTTTAAATGTAAATGCTAAATTTTTGTTTACCTGTATTATATCTGTATTATGTTAACAATACGGTAATCTTTAATGCCATATACTGAGTATAAATAATATACAATTACACTCGATTAATTTTGAGTAATAAAAAATCTTGTACTTATTATAAGTGTGGGAGAGCCATGCTTCGGCACGAATGGGTCGGCTCGACCGGAGTGATACCACGGCCTTACAGAAAACCGGCGTGAAACAACCACAGCGTTGTGTTTCGCCGTGTGAGTGAGGTTACCGGAGGCCCAATCCTTCCCCTTCCCGGAGCCTCTCCTTCCCCTTCCCGGACCCTCTCCAATCCCTAAATCTCCAAATCCCTAATCCCTAAAAGGTCGGCAACGCACTCGTAACTCCTCCGTTGCGGGTGTCCATGGGCGGCGTTGATTGCTTACCATCAGGTAATCCGTCTGCTCGTTTGCCGAATTATTACATTAAAAATAAAATATGAGCTTACTACTCAAGAAAAGACCGATTTTGCTGAAAATTTTAACACAACACTTCTGCAATTCTGCATCTCTATAATTATGGTGGCAAGTCTACAAACTAGCCCTCCTAGCCCTCTACGACGGAGATGCTTGCTGCAGTGCTCAAATAGAGGTGCACTTCTATGTTCCCTCACTCTCCGAATCTGATGGGACGATAGACTTGACATTACCGGAGAGGCTGTACGTGCTTTCCGAGGTAAGGGGGTGGACTCCAAACTACCAATGGTCATTTTAATTATAAATATCCATTTGCACATTTTACCCTCAGCCGGTGACCGAGCCACGTGAAACGTGTAGTCAAAACATTATATATGTACGTATGTATCCATAACAAGATAGAACCTCTGTCTGGTTTTGTTATGGTCTCATGGCGTGACTTCCGAGCAATGAGTGGGGTTCAAAAATTCTTAATGGCACATTGCGCTGATTCTGGCATTAGGCTCGTTTTGTGGCATTAGGCTTACCCCTATCACTGTGCAGGTGTCGGTATTGTGAGGACCACCAGGAGGACAAGGTGGAGTATACGGTAGCAATGTGTCCTGCTTGAGCTGAGCACTGTCGTATTCTCAGTGAAGTGATTGGCTTCAGCGGACTGTCGCGTCCGTTGAGGCCATGTTGCGGAGCGAGAGGAACTGGCAAGCCGTTTCCTCTTTCTGCGAAACAGTGATGATGACAAAAGAGGAGGCGGAGCGCGTGAAGCCGACATTCCGAGCGTCGAGGATCGAGCGATGATCCCGGCTACAGTGGGTCTGCTGACGGCGAGCAAGGCTAAGATGGGGCAGACCCGAGGGCTCGGTGCATTGCATTTCGCGCGCACTTCAATAAGCCAATAGACCACCACAGACGGGGCCCTACAGAGCCGATGTTCAGTCGGGGTTACAGGGCTAGCGCAATAAGATACCGCAGCTTTAGTCTTAAGCAGAAGAAGGAACGGAGGGTTATAGTTGGTAGGAATCTGACATTCCCTGTCGCCTCATCCTGGGCAATAGAAGTTATTTAAAGATTTATAACAGGCTAGTAGTGTAAACATAGAGAAACACGTGACACAAATTAAAACAAACGTGTTATCAAGGTCAGTAGGAGCATGACACATTTGGAACCAATTAAATAATTTAAAAAGAGATGGCTTGTACACAAATGTTATGACAACCTATATATCTATACGTATAAAGGTCAAAAGTCACTCATATCGAAATCTCGAAAAATGCTTGACGTATTAAAATGAAATTGGAAAAATTATTGTTTGTAGAAATGTAGCTGGAACTGCTACACAGACAGTCAGACAGACTAGCTGGGAAGTAATAACAACTTTCGGATACTGTTAAATTTTCCATTAAAATAAAAATTCTAATTAATTCAATTATTTTTAATTTCTTTATGTTAATAATGGCACAGTGGCGTCTATTTATAGAACAGTCTTATACAAATAAGTATATAACAAGTTGGCATTGCGAAAAATCAAAATGGTTTGTTAAAAACAAAGTAATACGTATTTGAATATAGTAATATATCATTATTTTAAAACACGTTATCTCTTGTTTACATTCTTAAAACAAAAAAAAAACGAAAAAAGCGAATGATAGCGAGAACGTGTATATACAACATAAATACATAAAAAATATTATCTGTATTCAACCTCGCACGTTAATTGTTACGCGTTCCAAATTACATCAATGACTCTCGACTAATTACTCAGTATTGTCCTGCACACAAACAATTTAAAACGTTTAATAATTTATATAAACAAAGTAGTTACTTCCTTATATAAGTATTTATGATAAATACAATTACTGACAAATAGCATAGCCCTTCAATCACAAAACAAAGTAAAATAAAAAAATTACTTTACTAAGATAAGATAATAGTGAGTTCCATTGTACGAAGTTTCGTATTTCACTCTAATTAAAGTTGCTGCGCTAAATACTAGCTAACGTAATATTTGGTATAATTTCTGATATGCCTAAATGTTACACAATTACTTTTGTGACAAACTGAATTTCTAATTATACTACTTTACATATAACAACTTACAATTTATATTATAACTATTACAATTATGAATTATTAGATTACATAATAAGCAAAACATTGTGAACAATCTCCTCTGTTAGAGGCAACTGCATTTATTTATACCACAAACGTGGTACAATTTTAAAACACAACACAAGTTTTGCACTTAATTACACAGCAATGAACAGAGACATCCACCAGGGAGGGTTCTTCAGCCATGATTTTAATTTTTCCCGTGGTGGTAATATACCTGTGTCTTTCTTAGGCTCCGGCATTTTGGAATAAGCCATCAAAGTTTTACAATCAATAACATTGCGTAAGAAAGCGTCTCTTGTTTGAATCTCTACCGCACACTCCATGTTATCGGGGTTCACTGGGGGGCCTTTTACACTTAGAGGATCTACGAGGGTTGAATTAGTAGTGCACACTGTCACGTTCACCATGGTCGCGTTCGTTGTCACCGTCTTGGTGATGTAAGATGAGGAACCGTTCGCTGTCGAAGTCACTGTGGTCACTGTTGTGTTCGCTGCAGAATTGTTCTGTGGCACAGTGCTGTTAACAGTCACTGTAGGAATAATGGTGCCGTTGGGTGCTAAAGTTCCCAAATTAGTCTTCACATCGATACTAGGAACTATTGGGGCGGGAGTGCTTACAGGTGTCATTATTAGAGTGCCGTTTGGTGCCAATGTCATGTTTGCTATCGTTGTGGCATTGTTGTAAAGCGGTGGTGGTACGTTGCCTAAAGAAACGTTGGTTGTCACAGTTTGGTTGGCTGTCACAGTAGTATTGGATCTAGTAGCGTTAACTGGCAACACTGAAAGCACAGGGTTCAGTGTGGTGGCTGCAGATGTAGCAGGTGCTGTCGTCACTGTACTGTTAATTATGGTGGTTGTTGTCGTGCACACGGTTTTATTCACTTGAGTTTGTTGCGTCGGCGCCACTTTTTTACTGTCTTGAGTGAAGGTTGAAACAATTTCACAAGGAATTTTAAGTGCTTCTTCTCGTCCATTTTCTTTAACTTTCAATATGCAATTTGCTTCGTCTTGAGGCCTAGTCTGTGGTCTGTAGGATGAGGAACCGTATGATGACGAACTCGGCATGTCGTACCTGCGTCTGTAGTAATCATCATAGTAATAGTGGTCATGGTAATGACTGTGCGAGCGGCCGAGGTTGTACAACGATAATCCAGTCAGCAAGTCTCCGTACCGACTGTTGGAGTGCCTGAAGTCTTGGATGTATACGTATTGTGGTGTTGAGTAGTACGTTGGTACAGAATAGGGAACATTGGTGTGGTAATAATGATTCGTTGTGTGATGAACGGTTGTAGATGGGCGACTGTTCGTGTTGTAGGTGTGAGTTGGTTTGTACTTATTGTTGTTAGAACTTGGTGGGTAGTAGTGAGTTCCAGAACTCGATGTAGGTCTGTAATTTGATCCAGAACCAGACATTCCAGTAGAACTTGACGGGTAAGTATGGCTTCCAGAGCTTGATGATGGTCTGTAACTTGATCCAGAGCCAGACATTCCTGTTGAACTTGACGGGTAAGAATGGCTTCCCGAACTTGATGTTGGTTTATAACTAGATCCTGAGCCGGAAAGTCCCGAAGACGATGAGGGATACTTGCTAGAGCTTGAACCTGATCCAGAAAGCCCTGAAGACGACGATGGGTATTTACTGGAACTTGAACCAGAGAGTCCTGATGATGATGAAGGGTATTTGCTTGAACTTGAACCTGATCCAGAAAGTCCTGAAGACGACGACGGGTATTTACTAGAGCTTGAACTTGATCCAGAAAGCCCTGATGATGATGACGGGTATTTATAGGAACCAGAGCCGGATCCAGATAAACCCGACGATGATGATGGATAACCCCACGAGGATCCAGATGAAGATGAAGGATATTTGCTACTCGACCCTGATCCAGATAATCCTGAGGATGATGAAGGATAACTTGACGACCCGGAACCCCATCCTGAGGACGATGAAGAAGGATATCCAGATATTCCAGATCCAGATAACCCTGATGATGAGGAAGGATATTTATGTGATCCTGATCCCGAAAGTCCTGATGATGATGACGGGTAGCTATGTGATGTAGATCCTGATTTTCCCCAGTTGCTTGAAGATGATGAACCTCCAGAAAGTCCTGATGACGAGGACGGGTAACTGTGTGATGTTGATCCTGAACTTCCCCAGTGACTCGAAGATGATGGGTAACTGTGGGATGATGATCCCGAACTTGATCCCCAGTGACTTGACGAGCCTGAGCTTGAGCTCCAACTAGGTTTGGAACTGTGACTCGAGGACCCCCAGCTCTTGCCAAAAGAGGAACCACCTCTGCTTCTACTGCCACTGCTACTACTCCTGCTGCTACTGCGACTTCCACTGCTTCTCCAACATTCTATGTATGTCACAGTTAAACACGAAACTAAGAGGCACAACAGAAGTATTCTGTTGGCCATTGCGTCTGTCGTTAACGAGCGAGAGCTCGGTCGCGTTTGTTTAATTCTCCTGCTGTTAATTAGTTTTATTTAAAACAAGTCCGTAAACTGTGTGTGTGTGACGTTACTATACAGAGACCCTCATATGTCATCTCTTTTCCTCACACAGGCAACAGATAAGAGAAGGCTAGAGGTGAAGTAAACATCAAACTGAATCTTACGTTTGACCAGAGATAAATGTAACACAGCAGGCAATTAGGCTGAGTACTGTTTATTGGTCCAATTTAATATTTGTGTGTTGGACAACTAACATTGTTCACGCTAATAATCAACTCATTGGGATAATTCGAAATATTATTATTTCAACTGAACTATGTCATAATAAATCGTATTTTAAAACAATAATCATACCTATACTTTTACTTACACAAAACATTTATGGTAAATCCTTTTTTATAAGTGAAAACGGTATGGAATTTTCCAAGTTTATAAATAACTTGGAAATACAAAAACAATTACGCATATTTTCCAATTCACCATGTTATAAGCTAAATTCCTACGTTAGATACGAATATAGTTTTAGATATTATGTACTTTATAATCCGTAATTTATCTAAAAACGAGATATTAACAACGTTTTGACCTCAGTTCGAAGCGATATCCTCTAGAATAGACAACGCGCAGACAGCCGCAAGCGCAAGCACGATGCAACCTATTTGTACAAAACGCACCTTCCAACTTTGCCAATACTGTAACTATTATTAAAGTTATAATAGTTGTTGTACTGATAACTATTATAAATTTAAAAACGATGAAAATAAGACAATGTTATGGATATTTCTGAAGGTCATCGAACATAAGGTCAACAAATGGATTCCCGTACATTTGTTTCGTTTCTAAAGCGACAACGATTATTTTATCGATACTGCGAACTTGAGTAGTTTTGAAAACTGTTTAGACCCAGACGTTATAAGTGACTCACGCGCAGACTATGACGTAGGTTTACTCTACGTAACTACAGGCACCTTAATCAATGACGCTTTTCATAATAATAGATCGAAGATATATTTATTGTGTAAGTGTCTCGTTGGTAGAATGAGAAAAATGTTTTAAGCTAAGAATCACTTATGATGTCCGGCCACTGTTAATGAGGAAATGTAGCTCGACCAGAACCAGACACAGAGAGCTAACAGACCACCACAGATGGGGTCCACACATGGCTGATGTTTAGCGGAGGTTGCGCCGTGCTTCGGCACGAATGGGTCGGCTCGATGAGAAAACCGACGACGTGAAACAACAACAGCGGTGTGTTTCGCCGTGTGAGGTTACCGGAGATCTAATCCTTCCCTTCCCCCAATCCCCAAATCCATAATCCCAAGTCCCTAATCCCCAAACTCCATATCCATAATCCCCAACGCACCCGTAACTCCTCCGTCATTGTGGGTGTCTTTGGGCGGCGCTGATTGCTTGTCATCCGGTAATAAAAATACACTGCGGCCCCAGCCTGGAGCTGGAAACAAGCGATTTTTATTCCAGTAAAAACCGGACACTCCAGCTCCACTCCATCCAGGGAGAAGACATTTGTTTATTAGGCTTTCTCAAAAAAAGACCTACCTATTTTATTTACTTATGTAGATAGCACAATGGCGCTTTGTATAAGACAATAATCTAGCTTCTGATTATAAGTCTAATGTACTAGCTTCTGTCGCGCGGTTTTACTCGCTGCTTGGCTCCTACAAATCGTAGCGTGATGTTTTATAGCCTATATATAGTCTTCTTCGATAAAATAGACTAACAAACACAAAGAAAATTGTTCAATTCAACAAACAAACTCTTCAGCTTTATAATTATAATATAATATATATTACACTATTGATGTAATGGACGAGTAACATTTAATTTGTGCAACTGTGTTCATCAATGTCTTCTTTGGCGTTCGTTATCGCACTTAAGTACTCGATCAAATGAGACAATCAATTTTATTCTTAGAAAAAAGTATAACATAATGGTAGGTTCATACTTAATGCATTTAGTAAACCGCAATTAGGTTTATTTATAAAAGGAATTCATTGTTGCTATAGTTTTCCTGAATAATTGCACTTTGTTACTGCCGTATTTTTATAGTCAATCAGTTAATTGTTAGCTGGTAATGTTTATTTTTTCCTGGTTATACACGTAATTCGTTTCCCGTTTGCGCACACAATCCTATTGTGTTTCTCGATATTTTTTTATCGTTCCTAATCGTTACTAAGCACATTTTCCAACTCCAGTTTATTATTGTAAATGCTTATTAAATAATAATAATGTTTCATAAAACTAAAACTACGATCGAAAATCAACAGAAGTAAAATGAACTGGCACTATTTATGGATTGATTTCTACCAAAACCAAGTAGGTTCCAAGAAACGGTACACGAGTACTCTCAATAATACGCTCTGAAACCTTTCAGAGCTCGTCCACTTATTGAATGACCAATATTTTGACTAGGCAATACGTATGCATATATCTATTGAATGTGATCCATACCGAACCAAAAACCATGTTTGTAGTAAGTGTTGTTCACTGCTGCGAGTTCAAAGCCTCGCTTCACCTTTTTTAATATAGAACCTAGAATTTTCTCTTATGTCTCGGATTTCCAGCCACAAATTTTGCAACCTATGTAAGGTTCACGTCATATCCAGACCCTAAGCAACAATTCAAAGATCATACCTGCTGTTGTTTGCTTGTATACGTTCCACTGCATTCAGCAAGTTGGTCAGCCAGAATTACGTAAGCACTGACTCGTATATGAAAAATAGGTGCTAGAAAAATCACTTTTTCCTTCATAATAGCATATCTATTTTCCACCACCTTAGTCTACAAAATCTTACTGATACCAACTGATCACGACTTTTTTAATAGACAAATATAAAAATGAATCGTAAAATGTGTTTGTAAGCGCATAACTCACGCCTGGACCAATTTAGCGAATTCCTTTTTAGGTGTGTTTTTCACTATTCGAAGTTTTTATTAAAGATATTAATATTGTGGGTTTAGTTATTTTACCCTCTCCTTTTACAGGTAGTCCACGTTACATGCATGAACGTACCTAGAAGTATAACAACATCCATAAAAGATTAGAGAAACTTAATATCAGCATTCCATCCTTGCGAAGTCGGGGCGGGTCGGTAGTGAAAGATAATTTTAGAAAAGTAGAAGGGATTTTTTTGTAGTTAACGAAATAGTTTTTTTAATAATTTTTATGGCAAAACAACGTTGGCCGGCTTAGCTAGTGTAGTGTAGGTCGTCTAGGTAGTGTTGTGTGTTTACTTCACGGAATAGAAAATACAGTTACTTACTCGTATAGATATAAACAAATGAATTCCATTTTCCTTTGACTCCATTTCATCACACGCGAAAGGCTAGACTGATACTTAAATAAATTTTAAAAGGTGCTCGTGAATTCCCCGAGGATGTTCTTACGAGAGACCTTTTTTGAAAAATGATTGGAAGTATCGAGAGTACCTGAAATTGAGTACCTACCTGAATTTAGACAAATGAACCACTAACTTGTTTTGGTAGCGAACCGCCAAAATACCAAGCAAGGGGGAAATCCATGCGAAATCACTACTTAAACACGTTGTAAGTAACAATATAAGTGCGCATAGTTTTTAAAGTTGATAGTTCCGTGCGCTTACAAGAAACTTATCTTTCCATTTTTTTATTCGCAGAAAGTTATAGAAAAAGTCAACATTTTTATAGGGTAGGGGAGTGGAAAACGAGCTAGAAATCAAGCATACTGAATTAACTAAATTGATCACCTGGTGTTAAGTAATTCGCGTCGCCCATCGACAACTGCAACATAAGATGGCGTTATCGGCCTTTTAAGAAGCCTCTTTTCTTGAATGGTTAAAAAAACGCATTGCTCGGATATATTGCCTACAACAGTTCGTTTCCTGTGTCTTACTAACTCTGTTCTTAATTTATCCAGCCAACTGTGGACCGACTAGACTTTCAAAATTGCTTTATTTCAATTTCTAGTCGCATCTATTGATACAGGCTTTTTTGGAAAGGATGATATTTTTTTTCGCCTTGGATGGAGAAAGAGGGAATGCCAGACTTTGTCTGACAAAAAACTAACCTAATCCTTCTCCAGCTCCAGGCCGAGGTCGCGGAGCTTATTGCGCTTGCCCCGCAACCCTGACTGAACATCAGCAGCTGCTGGGCTAAAACCGTGGTGGCCTGTGTGCTATCTATACTAATATTATAAAGAGGTAACATTTGTAAGTTTGTATGTAGGGGGTAATCTTGGGAACCGCTGGTCGGATTGACAAAATTCTTTCACTTATAGATAGCTATAATGTTCCTGAGTGCTATAAAACATCACACTACGATTAAATGGAGCCGAGCAGCGGGTAGAACCGCGCGAGAGTAGCTAGTGTGAAATATTAACAGGCTTTGGTAGACATACAGTCTATTTTTATACAAAGCAATGGTCTTGATGGCCATCTCCGTGATCCACTTTACATTTTACATTTAAAAACTGTTTTGTTTTCTATGCAGCACACTGTTATACATATTTCCTTGACAGCTAAATTGGTTTCCTTTTATCGGCCAGTGTTTAAAATCTTTTGTTTAAAACTTAGATAGTGTTTAAAAAAGGATTCTTAAAAATTATCCTTATATTCTGCTTAGCATTGAACGCATTAGTAAATGCACTAGAGGTGAACTGTCTTCCAAAAAAAAAAAGATGTTCACGAGTAATAAATCAACACATAGAAAATATGCAAATTTATCTGTTTGATAATAATTTGCCTTATAAATAACGAGAAGTCTCACATTTTATATATGACAAACTTTTGTATAAAAATGTACATACTATAACATCTATCTAGGTAATCTTTAGACTTAGATTTTAATGAACCATCACAAGCATAAATGCGGCAAATATACCCAACATCTCAGTACCACAACTCTCTAACTACCATTTCAATCCTTTTCTATTTTACAGACGAACATAAAACATTTCAAACACGAAGCATCGATTGTTTCTTATGAAGTCATCGGCAATTAATGCCTGCCTTTGATAATAACTCTTCATCTTTTAATGGATAGTAAATACGTCTATATCTATCAAACCAGTAGTATCCAACTGTAGAAAACTGATTCACTCAAGTCAAATTAGTATGAAATTAAAGGTGAATGAAAGTTTTTGTTACATAAATTAATAACCGTAGCTAAACCACAAATCTTTAAAATTATCTTTAGACAACAATGATCCGTTATCATACGCAAGCTAATAATATGTACATTAGTAACAATATCGAATTCTAAATGCGAATACCTGAGCAATAATTACAAATATGTTGATGATTACAAGTTATGACTACCATCCAATCACGTGGATATCGTTCCTACAACAATGAGTTGTAAATAGCAATCTAATAATCTTTTTTACCCTGCAATCACGTTATGAAGGCGGCAAGGCGGCTAGTCATTCTGCAACGCTTTGTAGCGACACAAGCCTGTCACGACCATCGTTTAGTTCCAATCATGACGTCGCCGCACCAGCACATTTAAAATGTTACTCATTTTATTCACCTCCACGCTTTATGCACTCGTGTTGTGCGAAGTGACTACGGTTACTGCGAAAGATGTGAAACCCTACATATTTCCAATCCCCTTCGAATTACCGAACCGCAACGACCGCTCGGAACAATGCTGGCTCCGCATTGAGGATGTCGAGTTGGTGGAGACCGTCACAATATACTGCTACATCGCGCAGTCATTCCTCAGCAACTATATTCACGACTACAACTCGAGGAAGATGACTGAGGATGCTGTGGACGTGAGCCTCTGGATTGAGAAGCCGAGGCGGCACGAGGAGGACCTCACTCCTCCGGACAACTCTCAACACGAGATCAAAGACTGGAGGGTGACGACTGTGCTGGACCCCACCACCCACATGCGGTTGTACGTCACTAAGAACGCGGACTGCAGGCTGGTCATGTACAGCAGGGAAGGCGTGACCAACTACAAAGTGGACTGTGAAAGGATTCTATACTACGTTAATGTGCGCATGAATGCAAGTGCTGTGTTTCCCCGCGAACAAAACTTAAGACTTATCCTAGCAAGTATACTTCTCATGTATATACTTATGTAGTTATCGTATCGATATATGTAATTTATTTTAACATAATTTATACAGATGTTATAGTTGCGGCGTAGATATTATATTCGTGTTCACCAAAAGTGCAGCGTTTCTTTTGATTGTAATGGTAATTACTTCGTTCAGTGCTGGTGGCTACAATGAGGCCTTGTTAACTGTTTCGTGAAGGTCGAAGAGCCAACAATTAGTTTTAAATTCAATTATTCTTTTGATCGCACAAAGTTAAAGAATATAATCGTGAATGGTAATTACTAGACAAGGATACTATATTTAAAAATTCAAATATTCTTTCTTCTTTCTAGACTCTACACACGTCATGCTGTCAACTGGTTTTTCTGTTTATATCACATATCCATTCATAGACGTGTTTATCTCTGAAGATGAAGGTATTTCCTTGCTATAATTCTGTTGTTACCAAAGATGTAAACTATTGACGAGTATCTTTATATATCTGTCTATATATCAGTCGTTTTCTAAGTACCAAAATTGTTAATTGATCTCAACCTAAACTGCAATGGTCGACGATGATCACGAATCCAGTATTTCATACGGTGTATCTTCTGCCTATAAACAGAATTAGATGTTTATATTTTCAGTAAAAAAAAATCTATTTTCTAAAAGACATATCGTACCTATTCATTATAGTTACCTACGTATACATAAGTCGTACAATGACTTCACCTGGCTGACTGACTCTGACTCTGACTTACAACAAATAATAATCATAAACATCTATAGAAAACTCAATACAATAACTTTGAAGCAACACAAATAGATGCCAAGTAAAATGTTGGCATTATCAAGCAATAAGAAGTATTTTTGTAATACAAGTTTGACTTGTTATGCAGACGGTCAATCTGTGAATTGTTTCTCTTTTAAAGAAAATATCTAGTCAAGGCCATCTTGGATATAACCTAATATTACCACCGGTCTTTCTAAACTATAATGCCAAACTATCTATAATAGAAAAAACTTCGAGAAAAAAAAAATAATTTACCCGAGTTTATCAAATCTTAGTCTATACCGCATTGGTGCATTTAATTCTTTGTACTTGTTCAAATTTAGTCAATGACTTTAATTTTAACTAAAATACATAAAGGTACTACTACTAGGGTAAAAAACGTCAAAATAGAATAGTAGTCAGTCTGTTCGTCAATCAATCTAGGTGCTTGTTCCAAAATGTAGATTCGTATGTGGAAGAACTATAAAGAAAGTTCGACATTACTATTTTAGAAGTATTTTTTAAAGGTTCAGTTGTTATTATTTGGGTTGGTAATCCTAATAGGGTGTGTCAAAGAACTATAAGAATTTTGTACCTACTTCAAAATTTCGAATATATGAACTTCACGTTTAAAATTGTCATTACGTGCTTAGAGTATGCCATTGTACCTGTTTTTTTATGGTAAGCAGAGAAGCATACCCTATCATCGTGGTTCTAGCAACATCTACCTACTTACAAGAATAATATACCTTTTGTAGGTAAATAAAAATAATGTTTATGAGAGATGGCATTTAATTTAGTAGGTATCGTATTTCTAATCGACATGTAGCAACTAGGTTAGAAAATCGTACAAATACAATAGCCCATAATTATACCAACAATTTTCTTCTTAAAAAAACAAGCTGACTTACCTACCTACCTACCTAGGTGTAGGTGTCTATGTATATTATGGAAAACGAGATGTAACAACGACGTCGTCGTCATGAAGTGAATTAGCTCATTATTTATACTTTTTGCATATATTTAACGAGCTGGCTGGACAGACAGTGACAGCTCAACGAACCGTGTCACCGCAAATACAACTATAGGTACATTTATACATCTGCACTATTGTTTACAAAAATACCATGACTATTAATAATATTAGCATATTGCACAACACACCTATGTATATTGTTTATATATAGAAAATAATGTTTGATAACAACCGGCGACCCGATCTGGCTTCACACTTTTTTCTAAGTGATAACACGGCAAGCAAGTAGACGGTTTACCTGATACTATGTAATCAGTTAATACCCGCAACAATGAAGGAGTTACGAGTACGTTGCCGACGTTTTGGGGATTAGGGTTTTGGAGATTTAGGGATTGGTTAGGTTTTAGGGAGGGCAAGGATGAAGCCTCCCGATAACCTAACTCACACGGCGAAACACAACGCTATGGTTTTTTCACGCCGGTTTTCTGTAACGCCGTGCTATCACTCCGGTCGAGCCGAGCATAGATAGCCATACGTGCTGAAGCATGGCTCTCCCACACTTATTGCATTAAACGCTCTTCTAAATCAGCTTTCCTTTCCAAGATTTTTTTTTTTCTTTTTTTATGTATCTTGTTCTGACAATAATTATTATGACAGACAAGATTTATCTAAATATGTGCAGTTATTGTTTAATTATGGAGTTTATTGCGTGATAAAAGAAAATAAAGGGTACAATTACAGTGAAGTGACAGGTGACTACCCATTACTATAAGTTTTTATAATTAAAATAATGCACGTGTAAACAGCGAGGATTTTATTACTTACACAATAAATAAATCGTAAAAAAGAGGTAAATGGTTGTCTACAGACTAGTAAAGCTTTATTATATTAGTTTTTTATAAACCCCAATATATGGATATCGCTTATTGTTGTTGGAATTGATTCAAATGAAATAGATTCAAAATAAATGAGAAGTTTCTATCATGTTAGCGTCGTCCAAACTAATATTATAAATGCGAAAGTAACTCTGTCTGTCTGCCTGTCTTTTCTTCACGTCTAAACTACTGAGCCGATTTCTGTGAAATTTGGTACAGACGTAATTTGGAACTTGAAAAAGGGCATATTCCATGCGAACGGTGTCGAGGGCAAAAGCTATTTTTTTATAAGTAGATATGTCTCCTTTCGTATGATGATTAAGACAAACAAATTTAAAAAAAACAATGCCATAAAATTTCGCGTCTATCTTGGTGCTAATGTCATGTAACTTAAGGGCTGAAGTACTAGCCAAAGTACCAATATGACTATTTTCAAATTTCATCTTTGTATTTTCTATGATTATTTAGACATCACTACCATATGACGAAGGAAAACATCGTGAGGAAACTTGGACTTATGTTTTCTAATCATAAGTTTGAAATCGCCTATCCACCTTGAGCAAGCACGGTAATCAATGCTCAAACCTTCTCCGTGTGAGAAGAGGCCTTTGCCCAGCAGTGGGCACTTATAGAGTGATGATGTTGACAAGCCATTGGATTGAATGTCCGAATTGGTCGCGCGAAGCGTCGCGTTTCTTACGTACCTCACAGGCCTATTCGACCACCTCGGGTCCACTAAGGCCGATGTCCAACCGGCGTTACAGATGTGAGCGGAATAGTGTACCCCGGCTCAGAGGAATTTATTGGTTTTTAATCAGTAAAAGTCTGACACTCTTTTTCGTGCTATGCAGGGTGGAATAAGGGACTTGGTGATTTCCTGACCCTTAAAAAAGGTTTGATAAATTACCCCGTCACAAAAAAGTAAGACGTTAAAATTATAGGGTCGTTGTTCTATACAGTTACAGTAAGGTCAGGTTTACAGTTTTCAGTCATTCAGTTATTCGGTTCATATTTTTTATACAATTTTGAACTTAAAATAAATTGTGTTTTGTACGAAATTTTGTGTATAACACGTTGTAAATATTATCACTAATATCTGCCAAGCCTGCATATCTAAATAATAATAAAAATGCAAAATATACAAAGATTTCATACTTCTAAATAACTGCAATACGTAATAAATTATAAACAGAATATTGTTAGTTTCAGAGTTTTTCAATCGGAAAATTACAAGGTAGTTGACGTCGCCCAAAATTGTTAGTGTATACCATGCCTACTTTTTTAATGAATGCACGTCTGTAATACCACTTGTTTACATTATTTTGTAGGTATTTCATTTGTTTTATCACTTAGACTTTAAAAAAAGCCTGCGTGAAACAACCACCGTAGTGCAATTCGGCGTGTATGTGTGAGGTTACCGGAGCTTCAATCCTTCCCCTCACCCCATCTCACCCAAATCCCTAAATCTCCGAAAGTCTAATCCCCCACACGGAATATGTTGTGGATGTCTATGGACGCCGCCGACAGCTCACCATCAGGTAATCCGTCTGCTCGTTTGCCAAACTATGACATAAAAAATAAGATTTAAAATAAATATTGGATTTATCTAGTGTTTAGTTTTTCAATAAAGTATAGACAACTATACATTAATATAATTATAAGTAACAAACTGAATAGAAGGTGAATAGTCAACCATGAACAATGAAAGACAATTGATAAAGAGGAAATTACCATTGAGGTCTTTCGATAAAAGGCCTTACTTTGAATTAAATAGGGAAGGACACATTTCATACTATCGCCATTTTATTATATCCTGTTATTAAAAACATCATGGTTATTATTCTCCCAACGAAAATACCTAATAGTCTTGAGTTTCAGAATACACCCGTTTCTCCTTACTTATCAACGCCAATTGGTGATAATAAACTAGTTTTTTTATGAAATAAAAGGCAAACGAGCAGACGGACCGCCTGATGGTAAGTGATCAGCGCCACCCATGGATTCCTGCAACACCAGAAGAGCCAAGAGGCGCGTTGTCGGACTTAAAAACTAAACAAAGGAACGCCTTTTCATAACAAGGTTTACCAAAATCTTCATTCTTAGATAGTTGCACATCACAGTTTAAAAGGTCATACACCATAGAAAAGTTGCCTGGTCTGCCTGGTCTGCCTGGTCATATATTAGAGTTACCTAGTCTTTGTATCTCACAGAACGTTTATCGGATTTTCGGAAACCGCAGGCAAGTTAGCGATCTATATCCTCCACTCTTGTCAAAAAAAACATTAATTTTATTGTCAGATTAAAACTTTTACAATCTATCTAGAACGCAAGGACCTCATTAGCCGACTTCCAAAAAGGAGGAGGTTCTCAATTCGACCGTATACATGCTTTTTTTTTAAGTATATGGAATACCTGTACTACGAGATCACGCTCTTCATAACCAAAATGGTGAACAAAACATAACATTAATAAATTGTAAAATAAAATAAAGCATGGAACAGCCATGAATGGGCCTGCTCGACCGGAGTAATAACACGGCCTCATAAAAACCTGCGTGAAACAATGCGTTGTGTTTCGCCGTATGGGTGAGGTTACCGGACGCCCAATACTTCCCCTCTCCTATCCTACCAACGCACTTGCAACGATTCTGGTATTCAGCCGGGGTTGCTAAGTAAATGCAATGAGCCATCGTGGTCGCGGCCCAGACCAGGAGAAGGAAAGGGAGGTTCTAGTCAGTAAGAATCTGACACTCCCAGGTGGAAGAAGTTATTTGATTTTCCCCTCACAAAAAAAAACTATTGTGGTTTTGCAGGACGTGATTAAGTAATAAA